GATGACGAAAATTTTGTGCGGAAACTTTGAGAAAAGTTTTCTCGAATGAGAAAAAATGGCTTCAAGAAAGGCTTCCGGCACTTCCTCCACGCGAATTTTTTCAAGCGGCTCGTGCAATTTCAGCTTTTTGAAAATCTCACTCGTGCAAATTAATTCCAAATTGAACTCGAAACCGTATGATTACCTATACTTAAAAAATTCGAGTCGAGGAAGTGCCGGAAGATCTTTCTTGAAGCCATTTTTTCTCATTCGAGAAAAGTTTTTTCAAAGTTTCCGTCCAAAATTTTCGTCACTTTTAGTGATATCATTGTCTTAGAAAATTTCCTATTGTCTTTCAGCCAATCATAATCTAGAATTACGATTTGTAATTTGCACTGGTTGAACTGCACTGCTCTCAGCCAATCAGAATCGAGTAATGTTTTCATGTATATTGATTACAAAGGTAATCGTATCTATAACAAAATTCTCGATCGTGATTGGTTCTCCGGTCGCCTATTTGACACGTAATCGGCGCGCGATCACATGGGTGTCCAATTATAGGTATCCAATTCGAACTTTTCGTAATTGGATACCTGTAATTGGATATCCACGTGATTCGCACGTCAATTACGCGCTCTTTAATGGCTTCCTTCGCACTGTTTTCTACAGTTTTCAAAACTTATAAAAGCGTTACAGACGTTTTCGCTCAAAAGAAGTTCTCAAAAGACATTTTTAATTCCGAAATTTGTTATAGATACGATTAATTAGTAATTGGACCTCGTGTCGTACAATTCAGGGAGTATTAAATCGTACTCGTAATTTCAAATCGGCCTCGCGCATCGCGCTCGTCCGATCTTGAAGTTACTCGCGCGATTACTTCCTGAATTGTACTCTACTCGGTCCAATTACTATTACAAATCACATGTATCTAATGAGTTTCCGAGAAGAAAGACGTTGTTTGAAATGAAACCTTAACTTGTTCAGTGTAGGGAGGGAGAAGCGCTGTTCTATGTTGAAATAAGGGGACCTTTAACTCAATCCCTTCCGATCGACCGATTTTGGTTAGCGGATGCTATTATTAGGTACGAGCTGACTGCAATATTTAGAGAGCTTGTGAAACTTGGCAAATGGAAAAAATTGTAACTCTTTGAACAGGGTATAATATTGACGCTAATGAACCCACAAAAGCGGAACAAAAACTATTTAATACATCGGGCTCAAATTTCTTGGGACAGTTAATCGTACCATACAAGTGAATATATGAAAGATCATATATTTGAACTGTGGAGAAAGATGTGAAGACATGATTGATCATCGCAGGTTATTGAAGCCTGAAAAAAATTCACACCTGAACGGGATTCGAAACCATGACCTCTGCGATACCGGTGCAGTGATCTACCAACTGAGCTATGAAGCCAACTGGGAACTGGTCACATCTTTCTCCGCAGTTCAGATATATGTTCTTTCGTATATTCACTTGTATTCTTCACCATCTACGGGTATATTACGAACTCACAATGTGACCAGCTCCCAGTTGGCTTAATAGCTCAGTTGGTAGAGCACTGCACCGGTATCGTAAAGGTCATGGGTTCGAATCCCGTTCAGGCCTGAATTTTTCAAGGCTTTAAGTTCATAACTGCGAGTTAACATTTTTTCCTAGCTCAATCGGGAACTGGATCATTCATACAAATGAGGAAACGTTGTAATAAAATATTTCCCTACAATGATACTTGTTTACTTGACATTTTCTAAGCCATCACATGTTATTATTGCTACCGCGAATGCATCTTATCATGTCTTATGGAAAACAATTGACAATAATATTCAAGTATCGAACCAAATAACGCAAGTTACAAGAATTCAACATTAATTTAAAAAAAGCGATCTGAAGTTCGTGAAACGAAACAACTGCAAGACAGGGGCGAAAGAGTGTTAACGATATCAAAGGAATTTTAATGCCATTTTTGTGAAGATATCTTAGCTCATAGCAGAACATAGTGATTCAGTTCAAAAACTGAAGCGCTAGCTCATTTTAGCGAGTAATATTCTCCGAAATTGCTGAACTGGTGAACTTTTCGCACGGCGGAAAAGGTATCCTGAAAAGCATACATATATTAGCTATTTGCATTCTGATTCTCAGCAGCATTTTGTTATTTAAAGTACAGTGACGTTCAAATTTGCAGGCTATGGCTATGGCAACGCGTGTCTCGCCAACCAGACCCTCAAAGAAGGCCTTCATTTCCACGAATTGCCGGCCTCGCCACGACTTCGCAAGAAGCTTGAAATTAAGATACAGTACGACATAGAAAGGGTTATTCACGAGAAAGATTCCTTTCTAACGATTCTACGTAATCCAGATGAGTGTGCAAAAATATTCTGGCAGATTCTGCCAGTCTCCTTAAAATTCTGTCAAAGTCAACTCTTCGCCCAGTTTTGAGGAAGAGTTTAACCATCTTTCTAAGCGCCTGGAATGCCTGAGTGCTGAGGTCGTTGGCCGGCTTTTGAAGTGGAACTCCTCGTAGAATAGAAATAAAATTCGAGTCCAATAGCTTGGTGATCCACTGGTTTTCTTCCAGCCAGGTTTCCAACTGTTCAAGTCCTTCAAAGTTTAGTCGGAGATTTCTAAAGTGGGATTCGCTCCCTGATTGAATATATGCACTAGGATGAAACAAATAACACGCACAGGTCAGTTTTCATTCAGGGTGTGACGTAAACCAGAAGAAACCCACTCAAAGCTGCTTGTGTGACCGTCTTATTTTCATCCATTAAATTATCATCAAGTTTGAAGCTTATACCCAAACGGCAGATCTAAGCGTTTTGAAGAGTTTTGTTCCTTCAACAAACAGTGAACAGGGTCCGGACACAAAACTGACTCAAAACAAAACCCTTCAAATCCCTTACTACATGTACAGGAGTTCCTCTCCCTTATAGGCTTCATGCAATGCACGGGGTACAGTTTTATATCTACTACATTTTGGATGAGGGTCATTAAATGTGTTCTATATACATTCGTTCCAAACATAATAAAATTATTACTATTATTATACATTGAACTCACTATCTCTTTTCTGATTGGCCAAAAGTGTACAGTGAATTTTTGAAATCAGCGCCTGTGACGTCATCTAGCCGCAGATTATACATTAATCATGTCAAGGACACTCATAGCCTGCAGAGCAGGCGAAATTTTTTCGAGCGAGCGCTCACATCGTAAAAAGTTTAGCCGCCATCTTGAATTTTTCATGCAGTGGAAGACTGGGGAGAGAAAGAAAGTTTTACCAAGGGGGTGAATGATAGGCAAGAGGAAGGATAGGGGAGGCGTGGAGCGAAGAAAATCTCATTTTTCCCCTCCCCCATCCCCCACCGTCTAACATGGCAGTCTAACATGGCGGTCTAAAAAGGCG